GGGGGTGGGGGGTGCGGGGGCAGCAGGCCGGGACCCGGGGCTGAGTGGGGTACAGGCAGCAGTGGCCTGGCACTCATTCCGGGCGCTGCCGTCACGTAATCAGTACAGGCTGCCATGTTCTTGGTTGGTTAGACCCACCATGCAGGGGTTCCCTGGGGCAAGCCTATGTCTGGGCCTCATCCGGGTCTCCGGCCCCTCAGCCCCATCGGAGAGGTCTTTCGAGCCCGCCTCAGGCAGTTCCCCTCCCTGGTCAACTGCTGCACCATCGACTGGTTTAACGAGTGGCCAGCAGAGGCGCTGGAGTCTGTGGCCAACATGTTCCTGAATGAGATCCCCGAGCTGGAAGCCACTGCTGAAGTGATTGATGGCCTGGTAGGTATCCCCGTGAGGGGCCAGCCTTGGAGGGGGTGGGGGTGGGGGTGCCAAGCATGGGCTTGAGGTCCTCGAGCTGTGGCAAAGCCTTTGGGCAGGCAGCCTTACCTGCCATCACTTCCATCTCCTCACCTGAACACCAGGGCCGTGCGATGGGCTGTTGGGGTGACCCTTAGTCAGATGGCTGTGGTTTCTCTGTGGTGCTTCCCCAACCCCACAGCCCCGAGGCATGAACGCAAAGAGAGGAGCAGCACTCGCATGGTCTGGTCCAACCCCAGAGGCTGTGACCAGGGCACTGAGCTCAGGGCTGGGGGACACCTGGGTCCCCCTCCAAAGCTGGCTGTGCACTGACGGTCTCTGGGGACCCAGGGTTTCCATCTGAGACACACAGCTGTTGGACTTTCTCTGCTCACAACACAGCACGGGAAAGAGCCCGCTCAGCGTCTGTCCCATTGTGAGTCAGGCCTAGCGTGAGCCCCACCCGACACACACAGAGCCGGGACGGACAGAGTCAGCGCAGTTTGCGAAAAGCACCGTGACCGCGGCTCCCAGGAGAGTCCGTCATCTCGGAGCTTGAACCAGGCGCTGCCCGTTGGCATCCGGCTACAGCACGGTCACTGTTTGGAGTAGACAGCGGGGACTAACGCGGCCGAGGTGGTGGATGGTGTGCGGCCGACCGCGGAAGCGGTCCCAGAGCTCCTGTTTGGAGTTGTGTGTGGGAACGGAGGCAGGGGGACAGAACCGTGACCTAGCCTCCCGTGGCTTCTTATGGAAGGAAACTACCGTTCCGTGCCCCCACTTCTCTCTGTGCAGACCCGTTTGGAGGGGTTGAGTTGGACAGCGTAGAGTCGCTATGTGGGACTCGTGGCGGGCCGCTGTGAGCTGTGGGCTGAGCGAGGGGGCGGGGTGGAGGGTCCTGCACCGGGCACAGCGGCTTCCCACCTCCCCCAGATCCAGGTGTGTGTGTGCATCCACCAGTCGGTGGCCAGCAAGTGTGCTGAGTTCCTGGCCGAGCTGGCCCGCCACAACTACGTGACCCCCAAGAGCTACCTGGAGCTGCTCAACATTTTCTCCATCCTCATCGGGCAGCGGAAGAAGGAGCTGAAAACTGCCAAGACCCGCATGAACAGCGGCCTCGACAAGGTGGGCCCGGGGCAGCCCAGCCTGCGCAGTGGGGGCGGGCAGGGCTTCCCATCCTTGTCCAAGGGCCAGAGCTACAGGCCAAGGGCAAAGTCACAGCAGGGGGTCTGTCCTCCGTGTCCTCAGGGCTGAATGAGGCTGGCCCTGCAGGGCCCCTTATCTGGCTCCCCCAGGCCCAACTCCCTGTGCATCCCCCCCCCCCACCCCTCTGTCCCCCCAGCTGCTGCGTACCGCGGAGGATGTGTCCAGGATGCAGGAGGACCTGGAGATCATGCGGCCCATGCTGGAGGAGGCCGCCAAGGACACCATGCTCACCATGGAGCAGATCAAGGTGGGGGCTCATGCAGGGACCCTCCCACAGCCCCAGCTCTCTGAGGAGCCTCAAACACACACAGACACACACGCACCACACACCCCTTTTTCCCACCACAGAGAGCTGTCAGAGCTGCGGGCATGGGGCCATCAGCACAGTGGGTGGCCCTAGGACAGTCTGGCAGACAGGGTGCCGTGTCATGCTTGCTCAGCAAAGCCCCGGGTGCTGCAGAATGTCCCAAAGGAGAAAGCAACCTGTGGAAGGGGTGCCCTGTTCCACCAGGGCACTGGTGCAGCAGCATAGAGAGCCCTGAGCTCTGGCCGGGCCCACAGGGAGCTTGTAGTTGTGCGCCAAACCCAAACCCACTGCCACCAAGCAGGTGCCCACTGGGGTGGGGCAGACCTGTCCCCACAGAGGCTCCAAGGCTGTAAGTCTTTATGGGAGCAGAAAGCCTCAAACTGCTGGCCTAGAGATTACCAGTCCATGAGGAGCCCACCAGGCCACTGGGGCTCTGGAACATTCAGATCTCAATGGCGTGTCACCGCCAAGAGCAAGCCCCCGCTGGCCTCACGTCCCCTGCTCCTGGGGGCCTGTGACCCAGGGAGAAGGGGAACCAGAACATGTCTGAACTTCCCTCCCCCACCCAGGTAGACACGACCATTGCCGAAGAGACCCGGAACTCCGTGCAGGCAGAGGAAGCCAAGGCCAACGAGAAGGCCAGGAAGGCCCAGGCCATCGCGGATGACGCTCAGAAGGACCTGGACGAGGCCCTGCCGGCCCTGGACGCGGCCCTGGCCAGCCTGCGCAACCTAAACAAGAATGACGTGACTGAGGTGGGCACCCACCCCAGGGCCCAGAGCAGTGAGCCTCCTGGCCAGGCTGTGCTACGCAGAACTGGGAGACGGCAGAAGCCCTAGTTTGGGGCTGGTCCCTTGGGAGACCCACAGGCACGGCCTTTGTCCTGTGGTGGGAGGGACCGGGCTGGTGGGCCCTGCCCTGTCTGGTGGCTGTGCCCGCCCAAGCGCCCCCTCAGGGACGACCTGACCTGGCCTGCAGGTGCGGGCCATGCAGCGACCCCCGCCGGGCGTGAAGCTGGTCATCGAGGCTGTGTGTATCATGAAGGGCATCAAGCCCAAGAAGGTGCCCGGGGAAAAGCCAGGTTCCAAGGTGGACGACTACTGGGAGCCAGGCAAGGGGCTGCTGCAGGACCCCGGCCGATTCCTCGAAGGCCTCTTCAAGTTCGACAAGGTCAGGGTGCCTGACCAGGGCATCAGCATCCAGCAGGGCAGGGGTCGGGGAGCAGCCTTTCCCCCACACCCCAGGTACCCGCAGGTGCTGTGGTCTCTGCCTGTCCACCATAGCCAACTCAACTTCCTGGGCCACCAGACCCTGGCCCCAGAGGCATCCCACCCTACCCCACCCCATCCACCAATGTGGCCAGACAGACCCACCAACAGATGGGACAGAGGGCAGTCTCACCCCGGCAGTTTCTGCAGCCCCCAGGGTGTCAGCCAGGTCATATTGAGGCTCCGCAGCCTGGAGCTCCCTTCAGGTCCTGGCTGCCCGTCACCCCCATACCTTGTCCAGGGCCTTCCTGTCTGCTGGCCCATCTTCCCTGGCCTCACCCCACCCCTGCCTCTGGGCTGGTCTGACTGACAGTCTGTGGCCCCAGGTCCACTGGCAGGCTCTCAGGGGTGCGTCTCTGTACACTGGGAGGACAGAGACCATGGCCAAGCTCAGAGCAGCTGGGTCCCCTACTGGTTCCCACTGGCCTAACCCACACCCAGAAAGGGGTACTCCCAGCAGCCAGTGCCTGGGTTCACGGGGCCCCTGCCCCCGGCCTCAGGGAGTTTGGCGGCAATGCAGAGTCCTGGGCCAGCATCCCAGGCTACAATGGGCGCAGAGTGGGAAGTGGTTGTCCTTGACTGTGAGCCGGGCCAGTGTCCACTCTCTTGCCCCCACCTGCCGACGGCACCACAGCCTCTTGAGTTTTGTGCAAGTCTGGGCCAGGCGTCCCTGGGGGGCTGTGATTAAGCTCTCAGGTAATAACGGAGAGGTTAGAGGTCTTTCTTCTGAAACCCCTGCCTTTCCAGAACCATCTACAGGGTCAGAGGGGCTCAGCATGGTGGCCAGCTGGGATCTGGGGGGCGGGGAGTGTAAGTTACTGGTTATCAGGGGAGGAGCACTAGGGGGACAGCAGCTGGAAGGAGGAGATCCAGGCACACATCCCATGGGCAGAAACCGCCTCCCCGCGTCCCAAACCCAACACATCTAACCCCTCGGAGCTCAGGGACACATCGTCCTCCCCCCGCCCCGCCCCCAGGACAACATCGGGGATGCAGTGATCAGAGCCATCCAGCCGTACATCGACAACGAGGAGTTCCAGCCGGCCGCCATCGCCAAGGTGTCCAAGGCCTGCACCTCCATCTGCCAGTGGGTGCGCGCCATGCACAAGTACCACTTCGTGGCCAAGGCCGTGGAGCCCAAGCGGGTGAGGGCCGCCTGCGGGGCCTGGCTGGCGGGGGCTGCGGGGGCCTGGCGGCGGGCGCCCTTCGAGCTGGCCTGGGCTCTGTGCAGCAAGCCCTGCGGGAGGCGCAGGACGACCTGGAGGTGACGCAGCGCGTCCTGGAGGAGGCCAAGCAGCGCCTCCTGGAGGTGGAGGACGGCATCGCCACCATGCAGGCCAAGTACCGCGAGTGCGTGGCCAAGAAGGAGGAGCTGGAGCTCAAGTGCGAGCAGTGTGAGCAGCGCCTGGGACGCGCCGACAAGGTGCGCCGCGCCCGCCGCACCCCACGCGCCCGCCCGCCCCACGCCCCGCCCCGCCCCTTAGCAGGGCAGACGAATCCCCGGCCCGGCCCCTGCCTTACAGCTCATCAACGGGCTTTCGGACGAGAAGGTGCGCTGGCAGGAGACGGTGGAGAGACTGGGGTACACGCTGGACAACATCTCGGGGGACGTGCTGGTGGCCGCCGGCTTCGTGGCCTACCTGGGCGCCTTCACGGTGAGCCGCCCCTTCTGCAGCCCCAGCCCCTGCATGGTGGGCGGCCTAGGGGGTGCTGTCTGCACAGCGTACTCACTCCCCAAACACGCCCAGTGCCCCGCATTAGGGAACCCCGTGGGGAAAAGGAAGAACCACCTGTCTGTCCCCAAACCAAACTCCCTGCAGCTAGGCCGACCTGGACTCCCACTGACCCAAGTGTAGGGGAGGACGTCCCTACCTTGCAGTCAGGTTCACAGCCCGGGGCCGTCCTGAGCACTGCACTGTCTCCCCTCACCCTCACAGCCACCCTCACTGTGGGGGTGTTAATGTGGGGAGGCTGGGATGTGTGGGAGCCTGAGCGCGGCCTCTCTCAGGGACAGTACCGCTCGGCGCTCTACGACCATTGGATCAGGCAGCTCAAGCTGCACCAGGTCCCCCACACCACGGAGCCCACGCTCATCGGGACGCTGGGGAACCCCGTGAAGATCCGCTCCTGGCAGGTGCCCGCCGGGGTCTGGGCTGGACGGGGCCGCACCCCCACGGGCCCTGCAGTGGATGGTAGTGGGCAGAGGCGTCGAGTGGCCACAGAGAGCTCCGGGGTCCTTTCAAGAATACCGGGGAGAGCGAGCGAGGCACAGAATGCAGGCCAAGGGGACACCCTGAGAGAGGCCCAGTCTTGGCTGCACTGGACCTTGAAGGGCAGGGGGAGACAAGGTGGAGGCAGAGCCCCGTGTGAGCAAAGGAAAGGACCAGGGAGCCGGCCATGCCTGTGCCTACAGAGGCAGGGACTTCCCCGGGGGCAGAGAGCTTGCCTCATGCTGGGCCCCAGAGGGAGAGGTAAGACCCTGGCACAAGCACCGAGGTGAGGTGAGGAGGGGTGGTGCCCCGGCCAGAGCCTGGAGCCAGCCCAGAGCTGCCCCACAGATCGCAGGCCTGCCCAACGACACGCTGTCGGTGGAGAATGGGGTCATCGCCCAGTTCTCCCAGCGCTGGGCCCACTTCATCGACCCCCAGGGCCAAGCCAACAAGTGGATCCGGAATATGGTGAGCTTTCTGCTGCCTGAGAGCCCCCCGCCCCTCCAGGCAGACCTCGAGCCAGCCCTGATCACCGCCCCCCCCTCAGGAGAAGGACAACGGGCTGGACGTGTTCAAGCTGAGTGACCGGGACTTCCTGCGCAGCCTGGAGAATGCCATCCGCTTTGGCAAGCCCTGCCTCCTGGAGAATGTGGGCGAGGAGCTGGACCCCGCCCTGGAGCCCGTGCTGCTCAAGCAGGTGGGCCTGCGCAGGGGTGGGCAGCCTGCTCCGTGGGT